GCCGCCGCCGCCGCCTGACCATTTGTGTCAATCCCTCAAGCCCTCTCTCCCTCGCCTCTCTCCCTCGGACCGGTTTCCAGGCGCCCCGCAGTCTGCCTTTCACCGGGAGGGAGGGGCCTTGAAACCGACGCCGGAGTGGCCTGCGTAAGGGAGCGTCGCCCAACGCCGCACTCCGCTGCCGGGCGCACGGCGAGGACGGGGCGCCCGGGGCTGCCTCGCCGAGGCACAAAGGCGGCAGGGGGGTGGAGGCTTGCCGCGCAGGAGTCCGGGCTCGCTGAGGTCCGCTTTGAAACGCAGAGGGAGAAGAGCCCCGTAAGCTGGGCTGGGATCCTGGCGAGAGCGGGGCAGCGCGGTCGTCCTCGGGTTTCCGCCGAGCGAGTCCGCCCGGGCGAGGCTCTGCCACTGAACACGACCGCCCGCTTCCCGCGAGGGGGCTCCCCTGATGCCAGCCGCCCCTGAGGTCCCGGCACAAAACCCCGGGCTCAGCACACCGCTGAACACCAAGAGCCAAACTCCAACTCCAAGCAAGAAAACCACTGCCCCCTTCACCAGCTACTTGTCTCAGGGCTTCAAAAAAACAGAAGGGCTCAGAGCCCTCACTGGTGCCCTTCCCACGTCAGAGGAATCAGTAACCGAAGAGAAAAAGGGAAACCCCCACCCGTGCTGTAGCCCAGAGAGACTTGCCCGGCTCCTGTCTGCTAAGCACATAGGCCAGACAAGAGACCTACCCCCCTGGGTGTATAATGCTCGTCCACAATCTTCTTCCCCTGCTTTGCCAGCCGGCTCTGGTGAAGTGCAGCACGTGTTGGCACTCAGCTTCCTCACCACAACAAGCAACAAAGATGAAAGTAAATCAAATCAAGCCAAAAAAAAAAAAAAAGAACATGGTAACAGACCGAAGACTCAGTGATGTCGGGGCCCACCGGAGAAATTAAGATTCTAGGAGTGTTGTAGCCGGTTGGGGGGAAATAATGGATTCCCTGTGATTAGGACAGTTTAAAAAACCCGGAATTGTTAATGTATGTTACGTTTTAGGGCCATCAAATGTGACAGCAGCCCTTTAAAGAAAGGCAGCTGTGTTAATTTCAGCTCTATTCACAACACAGCAGGGGATGGGGAGGGGGAAATCAATATTGGCCAAATAGAAAAGGATACAATCATAGGGGTGGGAGAGAAAGAGGCCTGGGGAGGAGGACAACATTACTGACTGGCTTCCAAAAGACGAATACAAAAAATGGAGAGTACAGTAAAAAAACATGAATATTAACTAAAAATTTGTATACTCATCTTGTTTGTGACAGGGGGCATAGAAATGGCATAGAAATGAGTCTAGTGCTGATCTAATGGGAGCACAATAAAACCCCCCCATAAATTTATTGAAAAGGACATTGTTTTCTTTACAGTGTTAAGTTAATGATATTAGACAAATGTGTAAATAGAAGCCAAGACCACAGTAATAACCTGAAATATTAAAGTACTATTTACAACAGTTTTGTTTCTTTACAATAGGTAGCAACTTTGGATCAGTTTAAGATGAATACCACCTTACTTATAAGTATCTTGAGTATTTCCAAGTGGTTTCTCAAAAACATTCACTACTTTCTGAAGAATGAAGAGGGTAATTGCAGTGGAAATCCTGTTGGTTCTTTCAAAATGGATTTGCAAAGTTCTCCCCCCCACATAAAGAAGGCTGGGTGAGGAACTTGCTCTACTTGCTAGAATTTAGTAATAATCATAATAAATTATATTTTTGTCAAATCTTTTAACGAGGGGAACTGAAGCACATTTTACAAACTCCCATGCCTCAGCACACCTCTATGCACTGGCAGTTAAAATCCTCGTGTGTGGATGCCAAAATAAAGTCAAGTGTTGGAGCTATGTTGTAGCCATGATAGTCCATGATATGTGGGAGAGGTAAGGATCTTCATGGGTGATATCTTTTATTGGACCACCTGCACAATTGGAATAGACTCAGACCAGCTTTCAAATTCAGTGGCCCTGTAAAACAGAAACCAGGTATTCTGACTCCTAGTCTGTTGCTCTGGCTTCTTAGTACATGGCCTCTCTTTTCTTAATTACTTGATGACTCACAGTGTGCTATGGCCAGTTTTACTTTGTGCACAAGAGATACTTGGAAAGGGACTACTCTAAGATGTTTATAAGTGTTTCAGGTGACAATTATTAACAAAAAACAAGTATTAATGAGACATATGGATCCTTCAATCTGTGCAGTCATGTGGAGCTGCAGGTAGCACATTTTACCTGTGGTGGTTATAGATAATTTTGACTTAATATTTAGGCCACATTTTTTTTCTCCCAGCAGTGCTGTCCCACATTCAAACAAAGTTAGCGGCAATATATACAGCAGATAATGACTATAGGAGCAAAAGCATGATTAGAAATAGCACAGCCTCCCACATCAGTTGCCTTTCCCCAGGCTGGAAAAGTTCATCAAGACTTAATAGTCTCTCTCAAGAATCCTCTTCTCAAAACATTTCAGTTCAGGAAATTTTGCATGATCTAAATCATCCTCAATCTTCTGCTGTTAAAAAATGTTTTCAAATTGAGTTTATGCTGAATCTTTCCTGTATCCTATTGAGATATTTAGCACAAATGTTAAAATGGGTATATTTAGTAGTTACCCATCTTCCTCCCTAGAAGTATACCTCTAGTCAAAAGTATTCTTACAACTTCTTTAAGGAACACAAAGCGCACTTATCCTAAACAACAATATTACTAAAATAATTATTTTGCTATTGGTTTTATGTCAGCATTTTTTTAAATGGCCTTTCATTATGAAATCCTCAAGTATGTAGACGTGTTGCACATTATTACGCTATAAAGGTGAGTTAGATCTATGTTACAGTGTGTTTTGAGGGGTAGGCATATATGTTTACATTTGTACAAGGTCCAGTGGGAGGTAAAGGGAAGAGGATTTAAAAAACAACACACATTAACAAACTTTTCTTTCCTTACAATGAAAGCATAGTTTATAGCCTGTGAGAGAAATAGAAAAACTGACAAATGTAACAGTAGAGAAATCAGATTTTTAAAAGACAGTTCAACTCTTCACCCAAAATATATGTTTGTTACTTGTAACAGGAATGATTAAGTAGATATTAACCCTTGAAATGCTCAGCAGATTGTCTGTAACAAAATAAGTAAAGGCAAAAAATAGGTACTATAAAGTAACCATAGCCAGCATATGTAAGAAGATAAGTGATTGACCAATGTTGAAATAAAATATAACTTCTCCATTGAGTTTATCATATGCATATACAAATGCATTTACTTGGCAGCATGGCTATACGTGCAATTAATGCAAAACAATTAATTCCAGAGTGTGCGTCTGGGATAGCAGCATATTGAGCTGGGTTGGATAAGCGTGGCTGGCAGGGGGCCCCAGGAGTCAGGCTGCCCACCTGGGGCTGTTCCCCTTGGCTCAATGTGCTGTGGAGGGACTCACTGGGAAATGAGCATGCTTCAGTGCAGGGCTAACTGGCAGGCAGCCCCTCCACTGCAGTACCCTCATGCCCCAGCCAGCTGGGATAGCATTTACATGTGTGCTGCTGTAGAGTTTTTTACTCCTAATTACAAGGACTATCTTGCGAAGAAGAACTATCCTGCTGTGGAGTAAATTAGTTTACTCCAACTTAATAGGGGCGCACATGTAGATGCCCAGAAGTTTACTGTGCAACTAATTAGTTTATTGTGCAGTAAACATCTTGTGTAGACATGCCCAACAAGAGCAAAGTACTCTCAAATAATTTGATACGGTGTTTAATGGAGTCAGTTAACAACAAGTTAAACAACCGAATAAATCTTGACTATGGTTAAAAACTAGTGGTGCCTGATGACCAGTTAAATATTTTTTAGTTTCAGATGCAAAGAGTTTTGAACGGACAATACAGCAGGATGGAAAATAAACATTAAAATGTACTGGGATCATGGAGATTAAATTGCTTCATGTAATGGAGTTCTACACAAAGAACAGTGTATGAGGTCAGAAATGGCAAATAAGCCTGTGTCCATCCATAGTGTAAGGACATAGTGTATGTCCTATTGTGGGAATCCATAAACATGGCCATCAAAGATAAAGCATCTAAGTATGAAATTTGCATCACAGAACACTATGCTGTAAACCTATTGTAAACCTGCAATTACTCACCGTGGGATTCCAGATGAACTCCTAGCAGATAGTGCCCCACAATTCAGTGCCAATTCTTGCTGACATAAACACTACCCTTGTAATCATATCAAGCTCTTACTCATGTCAAATGGTTAGTAGAAAAGTCTATTCGAAAAGCAAAACATGATAAAATACAACCTGGCTGTTTTAGGGGTTCTTTACCTAGCATTGTAATATAATC